GCATTTTCATGTAATTAAATCCAAAGGAAAGCGAGCCTCACTCAATGAGGCTTCTTGGATGCCAGGTAAACCGGCGTGCGTGTTTGGGGGGGGTCGGTTGAGGGCGGGGGGGGGGGGTGCTCTCTTGTGTGTGTGCGCGCACACGTGCTTGCGCCCTGGGGTACAGAGAAGCGGCAGGAGATGAGACTGGGATTTGCTTTGCAGGCTGAGAAGTGGGTTTCTCGCCCTTATTAATATTCTTGCATCCCTTTTCCAAAAGGTAGCCTATTATTCATCTTTGATTCGGTTCCGCCGCACTCTCCTCGGTACCATAGCCCACCAGCCGTGCGCAGCCTTCTCCACACTGATTTCCCTTCAACCGTGGACTGCCCCCCTCCCCACTTTTTCATATTGCTGCTTTCTGCCTGGTTGCCCGCACAATAAACCCTCTGCAAAATCCACAGCCAGTTTTCTTGCCTGCAGTTTCGATACCAGCGACTCCCAACGCGGCGAAACAGTCCTTGCTTTTGTTTTGAACATCTTCTGCCTTTCCCTGCTCGGCTTTTACAACACTTCTTACCACCCCCGCCCCGCCCCGCCCAGGACCCCCGGTGACTGCCTCGGTTTCCCCCTTGCAGGCGTCTCTTTGCGCGCGAGCCGGGGCGGGGGGCTGCAAATCCCGGCGCGTTGGAAATGGGTCCAAAGCCTCCCTGCGCACGGCTCCTCTCCCCTCCCCTGCCTCCCCTCCCCCTCTGTGTCCCTCGGAGGTTTCCTGGACGTTGTGAACTGGCAGCAAGAATGGATCCACTGTCTGCTCACATTCTTAAGGGCAGGAAACCTGACCCACCCCAAAACCACGCGCTCCAAAAGAAGGACACTTGCATTTTCCGGGCGGGCGGGCCTCTGCTGGGGTGAGCAAGGCTGGCCTCAAGCGCCCCTTCCTCGCCACCTCCACACCCGCCCCCCCACGCCCGCAGAGTACCCCCCCCCCCACTTACGCCCCCTTCACCTACCCTCCCCGAGAACAGATTGTTTATCAGAGCGGGCAGCCAAGAAACCTACTCCTGTTTCTGGCCTCTGCCAAAGATTAATCACACTTGGGAAATGCACAAAACTTGACTCTGCAGGGGCGGGGCGGGGAGGGGGAGGGGCGGCGTAGTTAAAAGGAAAGACCAATAATTTTGACATTTCACAAGCTGACCAAATTGGTGCTACCTTTCCCCTCCTTTATTTTAGGAAGTCAACGCAGAGACCTGAATGATCGTTCATTCTCGCTCCCTCGACCTTCACCCCTATATGCGCCCCCCCCCTTCACTAGATCTGCCTGTTTGATGCTTTAACAGCACTGACTGGCTTTTAATTCTGATTAACATTCTCAGCTGGTGTGTATGTGTGCGCGCGCACGCGCTTGCGTGCCTGGGTGTGTGCGCGCGCGCGCGCGCGTGTGTGTGTGTGTGTGTGTGTGTGTGTGTGTGTGTGTTGGAAAGACATATTCACAAACCTGACCGCCTGACAAATCCCCCCTTTTCATCCTTCTCTTTGAAATGACATCAAGATGGACTGGGGAGAGGGGATGAAGAAAGGAGGTATGGAAAAAAAGGGGGGAACAATTTATGTGCTTTTCTAAGGCAGCTGGTAAAATTCCTAAGGGAGAACAAACGCCAAAATTGACTGTCTCCGTGTGTTTTAGACCGGATCGTCAGGGTGGATCCCATCACGTCGGGCTCTGCACAGGACCTACATCCTGGAAGGCAGGGACACAACACAGAACAGCCCTGTGGTGGGGAGGGATCCTTCTGACAGCGGCAGGAGATAGGTATTTGCTCTCACCAGATTCCTTTCTATTGGGATTTTTTTTCATTGCAAGATGAATTAAAAAAAAAAAAAAAAAACTGGGCTGATAAAGAAAAACCAAGGCTAGAAAACGCCCCATAAAACATGGCCCCCAAAGGGGAGGTGCAAAACCCATTTGATCCAAGATATAGATATCTCCACCCTGGGTCCCCCCCCCCCTTTGCTTTACAACTCTGCAGACATCAGGTTAGCAAAAGGTAATAAATAGTCCTTGCACAGCGGGGTCTGGACTAGTGAAAACAGTTTACTGAAATTAATGGGCCTCGCTTGAACCAAAACCTCCACTTTGGAATTAATGCCAGACATAGTTTTCCTGAACGCTATCCAAGTGCCTAAGCGGCAGACAATTTTCTTTCTATTTGTGCTGGAAAATAAAGCTCCGGCCCTTGATCTCCGTACAGATTATAATTTTTTTTTTTTTTTTAAACTCAGCACAGTAAACACTATGCCAATCTCTGCTAGCAGAAACCCAGTGCTCTGGGCTGTGCACGACACAAGTTATCTGGTAAACTTTCCATTCGAAAACCATCTCTGAACTCCCTCCCCATCCGTGGCCTCAGCGCTTTCCCCAGGACACCCGAGAGATTCAAGGAAAGCTCCAGAAACAGGCTCATTCTCAATAACAACCTCTTCCCCAGGGCTCTTGGAAAGCCGGGGCCTGAGCAACGCAGCCCATGACCTCGGTTCCCACCCCACAGGCGGCTCCCCAGCACCCGACTGAAACCCGCCCCCGGTATTCAGGGTGTCTACAGTTCTGAGACTACTTTTAATTTTATTTTTATTAAGGTATGTGCAAGGCTGACAGGCACACACATACACAGCCCACACACACATACACACCCAGTGGTGAGGGCAGGTCCAGCGCAGCCCGGGCTGTCCCGGCTGTCAGTGCCTAACCCTGACCCCCCCCCCAGCCCCCCATTAATAAAAGCCCGCTAGTGGGCAGCCCGCGCTCTGGTTTTCATTGCACAGTCTGCACTGGTGACACAGGACATGTGGAAAATTTTGAGAGCACTGCGGTGAATGGCGTGGAGGGGGGAGCGCGCAGGGGGAGGGGAGGGGAGGGCAGGGCTGGAGGCGCAGGGGGGTGGGGGGGGAGCGAGTTACTTTTTAGCTTCCGCTAAGTACTTGGCAGCTCGCCAGGCCCGGAGGATGCTGGGAAGCGAATGCCTCCCCAGTATAAACTGCCAGCTTTAAGCAGCCCTGACAGTTCTGCTCCTTCCAAACTTGGCAGCCGTTCAAAGTGCTCTTTCATTTGAAATGCTGGAAGCCTGCCATGTGCAATGCAGATTTGCTGTGCCTGTGCGCAGAAGGAACTGATAAATGCCGTTGCAGTTGCCATGGGGACAGGAGGCTATCAGAATGGCCTTGTGATCCGCAGCCTCTCAGCGCGGCAGGCTCTCGCTCCTGCCCCTCCTCCCTCTAGTCACTGAGATGGTGAAATAAATGTTCTGGAAAAAGGTTAACCCTCCCTGCTCTGGTTCCGAAGCCGAGGGGAGGTTAACCTCTAAGCACTTGCCGGCTTGAAGGGCCAGCCAGGACCACAGGCCCACCCTGCCGTCCAGGGGCGGGTCACCCTGTCCCCAGCCCCCCCACCCAAACAATCATGCACACTCCCCAGCTTCCTGTTCCCTGGGGGTTTTCACAAAGCTGTGTTTTTAATAGAGCTTTTCAGCAAGCCCTAGTGTAAGTCTTTGAGTCATCAAAACCCGGATGTAAACACAGCAGCCCTGCATTCTGCACAGTTTGCGTGTATTTTATCTTTTTAATAATATTTAGCTGGCAACTTAAAACTGCAAGGATGCCAGATATTTTAGCCAGCCACTTACATCATGCAGCATCCATCTTAGGGAGAACGGCAGCTTGTCCTTTCCTGTTCTCTCTCTCTCTCTCTCTCTCTCTCTCTCTCTCTCTCTCTCTGCCCTGAGACTACAGGAAATCTGGGTCTCTCTGGAGCCATCTTACTGCAGCAGACAACCCAGACCCTTAGAACCCTGGGCTTGAGAATAAGCATGACATCATCACCTTGGGCAGCAACAACCACCATGTCTTCCTGTTGGACACAGACACTGGGCGCTCCCAGATAAAGCAGGCCTGTGGCTTATGCTGTGGGTGAGGGTGACCAATCTGCACGGCAGGGCCCCCCATTTTGCTGGAGCTGCTATTTGAAACACAGTCAGATTCAATGTACAGAAACAAAACAGTATGTTCGATTTGGTACATGCTCAGGTCTATAATGCCAACTCTCCGGGTGGCCTGTTTAATGGGGGAAAAATGAATTACTCCATTCCAGCCAAGGCCTATGGAGGCCAAAGACGCTTAGTGATTTATTTACATTGAGCCAGTATTCCTTCTCACCCCAACTCGCTATTTCCTGAAGGTTTCCTAAACCTCAACCTTCCTTAACATCCCAGGAAGAGAACGTATTTTTCCTGTGACTTCCAATGTTTTCTGCTAAATATATTCAGCACACTGTTGATCTAGGGTTTCAGCTTTCAGACCTTTGTGTACTTTTAACACCTTGAGGCTGTTCCACTGAAAAATGGTGTATGTTTATTAAAGAGGACTTTGTGCCGGGCATGAAGGCAGTGGGAATTTCTGTGTGGGTCTGTGTGTATAATGAGGGGCTTCAGGATGGGATCCAAGGCAGAGATCTGTTCAGCTTTGAAGCCTTTGACAAAGCAGGCCCTACACAGCTCACAGGAGCCCCTGAGTGACAGGAATGTTGTCCCGAATGAGGTGTTCCTTCATACGAGCACCGCTGTCCTGGAGGCTGGGACAGGGGACACCGAAAATGTCCCAGGTTCCCGGGACTGAGCTGCAGTTTCTTTTAACCTGTCTCTCTCTCTCGGTGTCAGCTAAGGATCAACGTGGCAATTCCGGCCAGGGCAATGCGCTCTTGCCTCGCTGGAATTTCCTGACTTGAGTAGCCCCTTCCAACAAATAAATTAATCAATAAAAGCCATCTGCTTCATCTTGCCGGCAGGCACAGAGCTGAAAGGGTAGTGTTCAACTCGATTTTTAGGACCAATTGGCCCTTGAGACATTTCGAGGTGGGTTTTGGCTTGGAATGAAACAGGAATTGGAGGCAGAAATCAGGTGATTCAGAAAGCCCTTTCTCTCCCCCCTCCCCACCCCACCCCACCCCACCCACCTTCCCCAGACAATCCAGGCAGCTGGGTTTCTGGCTCTCGCAACCGCTAAGCTTTGGCAAGCCAAAAGCACATTTTGTGGTGGTGATTCCTTCCCCAGGTTGACGGACAGGTTTCAGTACAGAGCGTGAGAGGGGTTTCCTGCCTGTGCACATGGATCAGAGGCTGTATTTTTCATCCAGGGCTTCTGGTGACAGTTTTAAGCTGGAAGAACAAAGAGGATTGTGAGGAGCCCCTATCAGCAGGGTCCAGAGATAAAGAATCTATGCACAGAGCTTGCCACACGTAGCTGGATGTATGATTTTTTACATTTTAACCACGGGAAGAGTCGCCCTGACTGGCCTCAAATGGGAAGGTTTACAAAAGCCATTTGGGGGCTCTTGAGTGTCTTTCCAGATGGAAGCCAGCCCTGAGATTCCAAACAGCCTGGACACTGCCCACGTTCTGCCCCCGATAGCAGGATGACAACAGGGGAAGCCGGAGGTGCGGCCCCTCTACCAAGGCCTGAACAGCCAGCTTCCCAGAAGTCCATGGATTAGGAAAGTCTGTCAGGGCTGCTTCAGGAGCTTCTGGGGAACAACTCCCTTTTGTTTTGCTGTCTAGCATGTGACCAGAATGCTGCTAGCTAATTTTAACCCCACCAAAGTACTGCTTAGTGGGGGGGGGCGGGGGGTGGAACAAGAAACAAACAAACAGAAAAACCTATCTTACATCTGGAAAGAGAAATGCTGTGGGCTGGATAAAAGCTTTTTCAGCCCGTGTTCCTTCCTGTTTTAGTTTCCAAACTTGCATTATCGGTAACCTGAAAAATGACGAGTTTCACCAAATTCCTGGATATTGCACAAGAGGACAATGAGTCTATTTTGGGTGTTGTGAGTGTGTCTGGCACAGACCCTGGAAGCCATTGTTTTCAGGAGGGAGAATGCTGTGGGGTTTCCTGGTGCTTTCCTTCTAGGGTCACAAAGCCCCAAAAGGTACCAGGGAAGGGGGTGTTCTCCATGGCAACCATGCAGGTTACACTCTGAAAGGACCTGGAAGAGAAGTGGCTGGTTCCACCAGTGTGGGGGTAGCAGTGCTAGCCTGTGGCCCTGGGAGGTGTTAAGAGGTAGATTGTAGGGAGTGTTTGAAGTGGGTCAGTAGGAGCAGGAAGAAGTAGGGAGAGGGCCTCTTTCACAATAGCTGGGTGGCCCCCTGGGACACAGGCCATCCCCTCACCCCCTGAGTTTCCATATCCGCTTTTAGCACCAGGAATTAATGGAGGACTTCATGGAGTGCTTCACTCTGGATACTGGATTCTCAAAGCATTCCCATGGCGGTTAATTGTTGTCTGGCTGAGTGACGTTAGTGAAAAGTTACAGAAGCTCAGGAGCTAGGAAAGTAAGCAGGTTGGATAAGATAGTGTGTAGCTAGGCAGTTGCTGCCAGCTGTTCTAGAACCAGGCAGTGCAGGAGGCTCTCACAAACTTAAAGGTCCACAGTGCTGACCCAGAAGAGACTGAGAGGAAGGACCCCAGTGGATGCTGCAGCTCCCTTGGCCCCCAGGGGAGCTTGGTGACACTTGTGCTGCCAGCTGTGCGGGCTTCAGCCCTCCTACGAAGCCCCTTGCTCAGGCCTGTCCTGTTTGGCCAACTTCGATGTATTTAAAGGTCCTTGTTGATCTCTGAGGGCCCTCTGAGGTCTATCTTTGGAAGGGCAAGGAACCTCCTAGGAGATGGTCATCCCATCACTGGCCTCAAAACTGCCGCTGTTAACGTGCCCACAGGGCGGGTGAAGACCAGTTGGTATTTCCTACAAGGTTCTGTTTACTCTGTTGTTCCAAAGGCTTGTTTTCAGCAAGATGTTATGCTTTTCATTAAAAAGATGAGAGCTCTTGAGTAAGTGAAAATATTTTTGAATCCTTGTAAATATGTTTGAATTTCATTTGTTGCGTCTCACAGTAGGGGGTTCGGGCTGGTCAGCACTTTTATCTGCAAAGCTGAAAACTTTTCCTGGGGGCTCACAGCTGGCTCTTCTGCACAGCAGTTCTGTAAAGTTCGCTATATGAACTCTCTGTATACAAATGCTGAAGTAGTGCTTGACTTCTTCCATCGGAAGTTGGCCCCTGTGCTTCTCTGCAGATATTGACCGGCTTTCAGGTGTCATGAGGGCACGTTCTTCATTTACCTCTCCAGCCAGAGGATTCCGGATTGTTTCCTAATGGCGCCACAGATGGATCGCAGCTGGAGCAAACGTAACTCCTTAAGGGGTCAGCGGGGTGAGAGAGGGCAGGGGATCTTGGGAAAGTTCCTCTTTCTAAGCCAAAGCTCAGGAATGAGTGGGGCCTCTGGTGTGAAAACTTTCCAGATGGGGGAAGAAAGGGTTGATTCCAAAAAATTGCTTTGGGGAGGCCAACTATTTTGAAATTGCCTTTAAAACAAACAGTCCAAATGTTTAAATTAACCTGGAAAGCCCTTCCTTTTTTCCTTCCCCTACAATCCAAGTCTGCTCCCTTGAACATCAATCACTAGGAGGAGCATTTGCTCAGCCATCTCTCCCCCCCCCCACCTCTTTTTATCATCACTATCATCATCCTCATCCTTCTCATCGTCAGCTTTGGTTTGGAAAATTTTCCCAGGCTACAGCAATAGAATCTTTCCAAGAAAATGTATGAGGAGTGTCTGTGCTTTGAGTTTTTCTAGAAGGGGCTGAACATGTCGTTCAGAGACACCCAGAAGGGACAGCCAGGTCTTGTGCAAAGAATCCAGTCAAGCAACAAGGCACACGTGCCGGAAAGATGTGTGAGCATTCAGCGTGCTAAACCAAGGTGTGGTTTAACAGACCTGATTGTCCTTCACTGCTGCAGCCTTTTATTACTGCAGCTGCCTCGATGTCAGTCTGAGAGCTGAAGTACCCTGTCTCCTGGAGATAGGCTCAGAACAGTGGGGGCCAGGGTTTGAACTTCATTCTCAAGTTAGGAGCTCTTGGAATTTCTGCCTAAAGAACACTTCGAAGATTAGATGGAAAAGTGCAGGGGGTGACTACTCATCCAGCAGGGAGGGGACCCACCCAAGCATGGGCCATAATGGGCAAAGGGTGTCCTTAGGCTCTTGCTGCTCAGGGTGGTGCCAATCCCAGCCCATGCCAGCCCAGATCCACTTGGATCCCCAAACACACACAGCTGCATGCAAGCATGGATCTAAAATCTGCGCGCAAAATGAGAAATCCATCCGACAGACAAAAGGACTGAGGGGACCCAGAGGACAGAGCTGGTTCTGGAAAGCAGAGGCAGCTGGGAAGTGCACGCCTTTCAGCCAGTTCTCGGGAAAGGAACAGAGATCATCGCTGGTGGTGGGGGAGTCGGGGTTGCCCTGAACCTGGAGAACAGAGTTGCCCCAGCTACTCTCCTATGGGAAGGCTGCTTCCTGTGGTCACAGGACCCGGAGACCTCAGGAGAGGAAGGAACAAGCAGGGGCGGCAGCACTGGATACCGAAGGACTCAGCTCCTGGCTGTGCTCACCCAGGAGTTTGAAGGCTGTTTACTAGTTACGCTGTCATGGTTCTTGCAATAGAATCTTTCCTTTCTGCCCAGGGCAACTACAGACTTCAGGAAGCATCGCCCCCATAGCAGGTCGGGAAGATGCTTACAGCTCAGGCTGTGTAGCATTCATAGCAACGATGGCCCGCACAGCTAACATTCACTGGGTACCTTTCCTGGGTCTGGCATGGTGCTAAGTGTTTTATTGCATTCTGTCTTCTAATCTATACCTAATGAAGTAGTATAGATGAAGAAACAGAAGTTCAGAGAGGTTAAGTAACTTGTGCCAGGACACACAGCTAGCAGAGTGCCTGGAAGAGAGTAAGCACACATTTCATGCTAAGATGTAATGATCCAGAGTCACTGTGCTCGTTCAGCATTCAAGGCATTCATAGTTTTGCTGAGTCTCCTCCAACCCTTGGAAAATCCACATGCCCTGAACACCCACATCAGCCCAAGTGCAGAGGGGCACAGTGCTGATGCCAATGGTGAATATGTCTCCAGCTCACATTCACTTGGGTTCACTAGGGGATCCAAGTCTTCAAAATCAGATTAAATCTAATCACTCTATTTCCCTGCTTAAAAATCTTCTAGGCGGGGCCTCCTCTGGTGGCAGAGGTGGTTGAGCACCGCTCTGTGAAGCTGTCCGCAGCCTCTACAGTGCCACTTCGATCCCGGCAGGCTGGCGAGAATCCCACACAGGTGGCAGACCTCTCCTGCCTCGCCCGCTGCTCCCCTCAGCAGTATATTTCGTCAGTCTGCCTGTTCTGTTCCCCGCTCTGTCTTTGGTGAATCCTCTCACCCTCCCGCACATCTGTCCTGTACCCTAGTTCTTGTATAAATAAATAAAATAAATCTTTTTAAAAAAAATCTTCTAGGCACCTAACAGAATCACAACGAACTCCTTAGCCAGGAACACAAGGCTCCTGGGAAACTGCCCCAAGCCCCTTGCTGCCTCTTCCTGCCCAGCAATTACTTTCTGACCACATTCAAGTCTTCTCTGTTCCTTAATGCAGTGTGAACTTTCAGGTCCCCCCACCTAACAGCCCTCTTTTTTCTGCCTGGAAAGAATGCTGTCCCCCTCTTATTCTTTGAGCGAAGGTCTTTGCATCTTTCAAAACCCAAATCAGTTTTTACGTCTCCTGTGAAACTAGTCTTCAGCTCCAGGACTCCCTATTTCCATGGCAATCTGTATATATCACAAAGAGTTGTAGTTACCTGTTCAACTCCCCCAAGGGAGCCTCCTTGAAGTTCAAGGCTAGGGCTTACCCAGCTGTCCCCACAGTCACCTAGTGCCCTAAATAAATGCTAGTCAAATGAACAGACCTGACTGTAAATTCTCATAACATAATTTTATTGGCAGTAAAATAGTATGTGGGTATATATGTGTATTATTGACACCTGCCCTTGTTCCAGCAAGAATTTGAAGTAGACATGGATATGATAACCTTTCTTACTCACAACAGACGTAGAATATTGTTTGGTACAGCCTATGGATCTATATATATCTATGTCCTATGGTAGAAAGAGTTGAGGCTTTAGACAGTTTTGAGTTCAGGACTAACTTGCCTCTTATTGAGACTTTAAGTCATTACTCCGCCTCAGCCTCAGTTTCCCCATCTGCAAAATGGGAGATAACAATAATTACTTGCGTGGCAGACATTGATGGTTGTTGTCCCATTGTCACTGCTTTCTTCCCTGGTGTCCTCAATTTTATTTTTTCAGTTCACCACCTCTTCCCAGGTAGGGAGAGGGGAACCCTGATTAGTCAGAACCAATCTTGGTGACCCATTTCCTTTGCCAGAGATTAATTTTGGGGTAGATCTGTGATCCACTTCTGGTCAATGAGATGTAGGGCTGGATCTTTTGGGGGAGTGTATGGAGATCTGTTCTAGGAAATATTCCCTTGCTCTTAAAACATGAAAGAAACAACTTTCCTTCTGCATCAGGGATGTTATGTCTGGCGTGGTGGCAGGGGCCACAGCACCCATCTTGCTGTGAGGAAGGCAACTGCTCAGGGAAGCAAGTCAATTCATTAAAGATGACAGAACAGAAAGCTGGTGGCCCAGCTGAGCAGCTGGATTAAGCTGCCCCAGAACCACCCACCCCTGGACTATTTCCAGAGACCAATTCCTTTGGTTTACTAGGGCACCCCCAGTCAATCCAGTAGAATGGAGGATGCTCTTACTTGAAGCCAAGAGTATGGCAACAGCTCGACTTCACAGGGTTGTGGCAATGACTCAATAAAGTTTATGACTGAGCCTCCCTGGTGGCGCAAGGGGTTATGACACAGCACTATAAAGCTATCCGCAGCCACTGCAGCACGAGTTCGATTCCTGGCCAGGGAGCGACCACATGGCTCAGCAGACCTCTCCTGTCTCACCCACTGCCCCCAGCAGTGTATTTCAGTCCATCTGCCTGTTCTGCTCCCCACTCTGTCTCTGGTGAATCCTCTTACCCCCCTCACCTCTGGCCTGTACCCCAGTTCTTGTGTATAAATAAATTTAAAAAAATAAAATAAAGTTTATGATGTACCTAACACAGTGCCTGGCAGGTGATTAACCAAGGTTCTCCGAATTTTTCCTACTGAGACCTTCTGAGGTGAATATGGGACTGACCATAATGAAGGCCCCCCCCCCAAAGTATCGCAGCTAATAAAGGGTAGAGCCATCAGAGGCGGGTGAGTGGACGACGAGGAGGTGACGGTGGCAATGACATCAAGCACGATGATGACCTTGAGCGTGCTGGTGGAACTCCCCGAGCCGTTTGCACTTCTCTTCCCCAGGTCAGAGCCAAGCTTGGCAGGACGCACAGCCTGGTGGTCCCTGACTACCTGGGGCCAGAAGCCCAGCTACAGGATAAACGCTAGAGTGTAGTTTGTAGCCCAGGAGGAGCGAATGTTTGAAAGCCACACAACGCAGAGCAGGGCTTGCCACTGGCCAAAACAGGCAGATCTTGGTCCCTCTGAGAGGCCCAGAGGCTTCCACCGCCCAGGAAGGCCTGCCTTAGGGGCCTGGTGTCCCACCTGACTTTTGGCCGGCTCACGGGTCACAGGCTGGTGTGTTCTGGCCGCATGGCCCCAGAGCCTGGTTCCAGGAGAGCCGGCCACGGCAGCCTCTGCCAGACACACATCCACCCAGCCCTGGGGCGCCTAGCAGCGGGGGCGTGGGGCAGGGTTCAAGCAAGGACATTTGGGCCCCACAGCAGGTTTGTGGGCGAGGGGGCTGCTCACTTCAGGGGCCAGCCAGGGGGGCCCAGAGGAGTGAAGGAGTGGGAGCTGCAGGCTCAGTGCAGCCACTGTCTTTTTTTTGCCCCCACCATCCCTCATATCCTCGTTCCTTTCCTTCTCCCCTCCCTGTTGCCTCAGAGCCCTGGCGGTGTTTACCGGTGGCCACTGATTTTTTTAAAATATTGCACATTATTGAATTGTCTGCTATGTAAATGTCCATTATTTGTTTTTATTGTTCTCACTTTCAGGACCTTTATAAAAAGGCCTCTTTTACCCAAGAAGCCTGTTCCAGGCCCCTCTTTCTCCCCCTTCTGCCTGCTGGCCCTTTACTTTCTGCTGGCCCCTCCACCCGGCCAGGTTGAGCCTGGCCTTGCCTCCCAGCCCTGACAATCTATTCTGCCCACCAGAGAAATATTGTGTCATTTCTCCCAGCGATAGGGGTGAGAGATACAAAGCGCAAGACTCGAGTGTTTCCCTGGGCCTACAATTCCAGAATGGTTTTCAGAACGATTTCCACATTTCTCTTATTCTCAGAATCTTGCCCTCCTTCCCCCACAAAAGTCCAAGTATTTAAGAAAGGTAAGTGAGGCCGCTGTAGGTGACCTGGGGCAGGATCCTGTCCATTCTGACCAGAGGCTGACTCCACCGGTAGGATATGCGAAGCCCTGAGCTAGACCAGAGGGGACGCCTAGGCTCAGAGAAGAGAAATGACCTCTCGAGACACTGCAAGTTAGTGACCCAGCCAGGTTTTCAATTCAGATGTCTGAGTGTCTGAGCACCTTGGCACAGTGCCCTAGCTCTCCTTCTGCCCTGCCCTCCTCGCTTATTTCAAAGATCAGCTGAGGAGATAAAGTAAGTCAAGAGGGGGGCTCCCTGGTGGCGCAAGGGGTTAAGTCTCAGCACTATGAAGCTATCAGCAGCCACTGCAGCATGAGTTTGATCTCCAGCAAGGGAGGTGACCCACATGGTGCAGCAGACCTCTCCTGACTCGCCCGCTGCTCCCCTCAGCAGTGGATTTCAGTCAATCTGCCTGTTCTGCTCACCACTCTGTCCCTGGTGAATCCTCTCTCACACACACACCCGCACCTCCGGGCTGTACCCCAGTTCCTATATGCATAAATAAATAAATCTTAAAAAAAAGTCAAAGGGGAATAGAGTGCAAGTGTTCTAAGCGAGATCCCCCGCAGCCTCTGGGTGGGAATGCCTCCAGGGAAGAGGGGCAGGGGACTGTGTTTAGGACAGGATGGGTGTGATGGGACATGAGATGTGGTGGAGGTGATGGAGGGAGGCAATTATAAGCCCTGGAAAATACAACCCACTTAAGCCTGAAGAAAGACTGGCAGCTTAGCCTCTGGGGTTCCAGCCCTGGCTCTGCTGTTGCCAACTAAGTACTTAGGACCACTGGTTGCCCAGGCCAGAGTCTGTTTTCTTGCAGGTCAAGTGGCAGAGGGGGTGTGCTCATAGTCCTATGAGGTGCTAAGTAGCCTCTCCCCTCCCCTGGCTGACCCTCTGTGCCCCAACACATCACCAAGCTCACTATCCAGGACACTCCCACTTGTATGCCAGGTGGCTGGGATTGACAGCAGGAGGAAGTGTCTCTGGGTGCCTTGTGAGAACAGCACAGAGCTGGCAGGCCCACCAGAGTCTTGGGCAAAAGTGACAAACCACAAGGAGCAAGGTAGCCCCAGGGCAGAACTGAGGGGGTCTTTTGAGAAGTGTTGTTTCCATGAACCAACCCTCTCTGGAGGCCCAGGCCTTTGCTAACACCGCCCCCGCCCCCCCACATACACACACACATGCACACATACCTGGAAATGGAAAGAGGAGGTCTCAAGGGAGGGGGTGATAAGTCACTTAACAACCCCAAACCTCAGTATTTTCATTTTAAAATGAGGCAAATGCAGTCCTACTGACATGGCAACAGCCCAGGTACCCGCTGCTAGAGTCTGCACCCTTAAGATGGGGCACGTCCACACCACAGACTGCCACTCAGCCGCAAGGGAAGGTGCAAGTTTGCCACTGACAGCAAAATAGAATCAGTCTGCAGGAATTGTGTGCAGTAAAGCAAGTCAGAATGGAAATCTTCACAGCAGAAGATTTGACAAAGCAAACTACTTATAAAAACTAGCAAACATTAATAAACACAGTGAGTTTCTGAGGTTAAGAGGAAGTGAGAGGCCTCCCTGGTGGTGCAAGGGGTTAAGTCTCAGCACTATGATGCTATCACCAGCCACTGCAGCATGGGGTCCATGGCGCAGCAGACCTCTCCTGTCTCGCCCGCTGCTCCCCTCAGCAGTGTGTTTCATCAGTCTGCCTGTTCTGCTCCCTGCTCTGTCTCTGGTGAATCCTCTCACCTCTTGCACCACTGGCCTACACCCCAGATCTTGGATGCGTAGATAAATAAAAAGAGGAAGTGGGAAAGGGTCAGGAGGATATAAGGGATGGTTGTGGGGAAAAGGGGGGTTCATCATGTCCCATTTAATAACTTTATCTTATTTTTTTGAACTAAAAAAACCAACATTGCTTATATGGTAAGTGTCAAGTTCACTCCGTCAGTGATAATAATGCCAGGGAGTCGCTGCTGCAGGACATCTATTCTGTTGGGTAATTCCTCCAAAGGCAGTTTGGGAAAAAGAATAACAGCCAATGCTTTAGTTAGAGACCTTTGTAAGTTCTGTAGAGGAATTTGTCACTCAGGTACAGAGCAAAATTTATGAACGTCATGAAATAAATCTGAAAACCTTTCCTAAAATAAATAGAACGATGTAGAACAGTGCCTTAGACTTCTCATTTGTAAAACTGATTGTTTCAGTACCTCAGATGATGTCTTGAGCTGACGCTTGTCACGTGACCGCCACAGTGCCTGGGTAGACACCTCCCAGTTAATGTCAGTCCCCCACGTTGTCAGAGGCTGCCTGCGGGGGACCACACACATGAAACAGGCTGGTTCAAACAGTGCCCCCCACCTACCAAGTAAGCGTAACACCTACTCTATCACGGGAGAGGAGACCTCTGTGCAGGTCACTTGGGGGCTGGTGACAAGCCCACTAGGAGTAGTGTGTGCACCCCCTGCTGGCTGGGAGCAAAGGTGCAGGGCTGTGGACTCAAGGGTCTAGGGGGCTGGGGAGGGCCATCTTGTTAAGCAGGACCTGCTCTGCCCAGTGGATGGGCACAATACTCATGGGATGTCACCCACCTGGTAATGCGCCAGGCTGGGCAGGATGCAAAATAAGTGACAGGTAAAGTAGGATTTTGGATCCAACTAATTTTGGAGTCAAGCAGGCATGGCTTCTAGCTCAGTGACCATCCTGGAATCTGCTGGAGATGGCAGTGAACAAAGTTCCTTGCATTTGTAGTGTGAGGAGGGCCCTTGGAAGGGCACAAAAATCCTCTGGGTTTTAGTTTCCTCCTCTGTAAAGGGAAATCTTTCCTACCCTCTTTACTCCAAACTAGAGGAAAGAGAAACTGGGTGTGGATCTCCAGAGCTGTCATTTGAGGGGAGGTGAAAGTTAGCACAGCAGTCCTATTTTCTCAAGGGAAATCTCACCCCTTTGAGCCTGGGCTAGCCCTGGAGGAAGTGGGTGTGAGGACTGTGCTCACAGGAAGAGCTCCTCTCAACATGCACCCCCATCCCCCCATCCTCCCCAACCCACCCCAGCCCACACCTGGGTATTCCGCCTGGAGTTAATGGGACTGCTTAGCCTCACAGCCTGGTGAGGTCATCCTGGTGAGGGCCATTTGCCTTCCTGGATCTCTGTTCTCTTCCAGACCATTGGGCAAATCCTACCGTGCTTGACATGGCTTCCAGGGCTGAGGAAGAGAGGAAAGAGTGCTCTCAATGAATTTTTATTAACATCCACCATCACTACCACAGTTAACAAATTTCTATTCCTAATGGCATTTATTGCATATGTGTTCATGTGTACATGCACACACATGCACACACACAAACACACACACACACACAAAGCAAAGGGGTGGGTTGGAAACCAATAAATACTAGAGGAATGTTTTAATACCTGGATCAAGATATAACCTAGGTTGGGCTTCCCTGGTGGTGCAAGGGGTTAAGTCTCAGCATATGAAGCCATCCACAGCCACTGCAGCTACCCACATATGGCTCAGCAAACCTCTCCAGTCTCACCTGCTGCTCCCCTCAGCAGGGTATTTCAATGGATCCACCTATTGTGGTGAATCCTCTCACCCTCCCACACCTCTGGCCTACCCCCCAGCTCTTATATGCATAAATAAATAAATCTTAAAAAAAAAGATATAACCTAGGTTAGGTCCATTTTGAGGACACCTTAAGGATGTCTGTAGTATCATCTCACACTCCATGTGTGTGCTTTGGCATCTATTCATGCAATGAAGTTGCCAGGCAGTACTGGGGAAATAGGAGTAAAACAACAACAGAAAACCCAGACATAAGTCCTCATCCACACTGGGGCTTACTTCCATGTGTGTTTGGGGTGGGAGGTGGGAGGCTGTTGTATATGTGTGTAGTGGAGACACAGGATAGAAAAGTAAGTAAGCAGGTAGAATAAACATGATGTTTGAGGGTAATATATGCTATGGAGAAAACCAAAGCAGAAAAGGGGTTCAAGTGCCTGAGGACAGGGGACAGTTTTGAACAGTCTTCAGGGAAGATCTCAATAAAAAGGTGACATTTAAGTAAAGATCTGAAAGTTAAGAAATTAGCACCTATCTTGTAAGCAGGACATAACAAAGCTCTATTTAGAGAAATGTGTTGGGGAAGAGGTTAATCAGGTTAGGCTTCCTGGAGGAGGAGCTTGGCTGACTTCCTCTCTTTTCAGGAGAAGAAACAAAGGCTCAAAGACAATAAACAACTTGCCCGAGGTCACATAGCTAGAAACCTGCAGAGAAGGGCTTGTTTCTATGCTGCTCTTAGCCAGGTTGCTGCCATGATGATAGCCCTTCCCGTTAGAGAATGAGAGCAGATCCTGTGTTCATGCAAGGACCTGGGGTGACATGATCTGAATGGCCTTCACTTGGTTAGGGTGGAGCACAGGTGTGGGGGACCTTGGCACCACCTCACTAATCATCATAGAGTCACAGTGTGCCAATCACTGCACACAAGATGCATCATCTTGTGTCACCCTCATTTTACAGATCAGTAGACTGAGGCCTGACATGGTTACTGGTCTCTCTTGTGAGTGTCAGAACTGTTGTTGCATGATAATCAACTTGAAAAATGAGTGGCTCAAAACAATGTATTGTTTCTTGTGATTTTGTGAGTCAAGAATTTGGGCAAGGCTCAGCTGGATGGTTCTTCTGCTCCATGTGGTGTTAACTGGGGTCACTCAGTCAGTTGCATTCAGCTGGTGACTGGATGGGGAGGGGAGGGCCAAGAAGGTTTCCTCATGACCTCTCCATATGGCCAGCCCGGTGACTTCAGGGTAGCTGGATTTCTTAGCAGGCAGCTGATTGAAGGAGAAGTCGCCAGGTTCCTTAGGGCAGGCCTGGAACTGGTACAGTGACACTTCCTACTGGTCAAAGCAAGTCACAGCTTAGATGCAGGACCTGAGGAAACAGGACCTGAGGAAACAGGTTTCTCCTCTTGGGTGCAGTGGCATGCTCAGACTGGGATGGGAGACACTTGTAGCCACTATGGGAGGCTGTTATCCCCTGCCTCCTCACTGCCAACCTTTCCTTTTGCCTTCAACCTAACCCCAGGAAGCTCCCATTTCCAGGTATTTGCTGAAGCCTGTTGGGCCCCCACTAAGGCACACGTGTGGCCTCACTGGCCCTCCTGCTCTATGGTTTCTTCCTGCTCCGTGCCTAGCTTCTCAGGGTTTCACAAGCAAGGGTTTATCTGATCTAGTTTCCTTGAGGGTAGGCACCATTTCCCCTACTTCCTGGGTCCTTATCATCTGAGTGGGTCTGAGCATGTCTTGTTCTCAGGACTCTGAAAGGACCTAACATATGACTTCCAGGTACTCAACTGCCTGAACAAGACTGGGCCTGATTCCTCTTCGGATACCCAGTCCCAGCACCCATCCCTGCCCCAGAAGAAGAGCCTCATAAATAGGACTTTCTGGCACCAAAGTTTAAGAGAATCTTCTCCAGGATCAACATCCTCATCATGACCTGAGAATGTGTTCAGGAATGCAGACCTCCCACCGCCACCTCCTGAACCAGAACTTGTGTTTGAACAAACGCTTGAGCTATTCGTGTGCACGCTGATGTTTGAGAAAACTCAGGGAGAGGCCCACAAGGTGGAGAGAATAGGAATAGGCTGGAAAGAGCTGCCAGGGGACCTCACCTGGAATGATAAGACGGGGTTTCCAGGACCTTGACTGGTGGTTAGACTCACCGCAGTGCTTTTTATTTTAAAAATCCTGATGCTCAGTCTGCACCAAGAGCATCTTGGTCTCTGGGGACTGGGCTCAGGTCTCAGAATGTTTTTTTTAAAGATTTATTTATTTATGCATACAAGAGCTGGGGTACAGGACAGAGGTGCAGGGGGTGAGAGGATTCACCAGAGACAGAGTGGAACAGAACAGGTAGAATGACTGAAATACACTGCTGAGGGGAGAAGCGGGCCAGACAGGCGAGATCTGCTGTGCCAGGTGGGTTGCTCCCTGGCCGTCCGGGGATCGAACTCATGCTGCAGAGGCTACAGATAGCTTCATAGTGCTGTGCTTAACCTCTTGAGCCACCAGGGAGGCCCAGGTATATGTTCTTAAAGTGTAGTCGGTGGACCATCTGCCCCCAAATCAGGGGGCAGATAAATATGCAGATTCCATGACCCCACACCAGGTTTAACCATCTCTTTGGGTGTCAGAATGGGTATCAAAGTTAGAAACCATTGGCTTAGGGCAATGAATAAGAGACAACAATGGCGATGATATTTTAAAATATTACAAGAAAGGGCAAAAATTAGAAAATAAGTAAAAGTAGGAAACAAAAAGAAAATCCCCAGACCCGTACTGCCTAGAGACAACTGGAGGGTCCCTTGGCCTCTGCTCTAGGGAGAGGAAGAGCCTCCCTCCCTCAGAGAAGCTGCCTCCATGGCAGGGGTGGGCTGGGACTTGGGCTCTGTGCTGCTGCAGGGTGGAGCCTGTCATCTGGCCCCGGACAGAATTATTGCCTCAAATTACATGGCTGATTATCAATTACTTGTGTCCGTGTGAGAGCATGTGTGCGTGTGTGCATGAGTGTCTTTGCAAATCATTAAGGGTCGTAATTCTGCATTATCATTGATTAACGAGAGGGAGGCCTGGTACCTCCAGCAGCCGGGACGGCAGCCCCGCAATTATGTCCCAGCTGATCAGTAATTGGCGCATCACAAGATGATTTCTCTCTCTCCTGGCTGCCTCCTCCCAGGCTCTCCTGCCGGCTCCACAATTAGTGCCGTTGCTCATTCCCTTCCAGCCGGGGGTGAGTGCAGAAGTCTGCTTTCTGGCAAGTGGATGCTGGGGGACCTGCTTTGAAGACCACTGCCCACATAGGGTGGGTGGTGATGATGGTGTGGGGGGCGGTGGTGGCGACACCACGTGGGGGCATGGAGCCGGCATGGGCACTGGCTTACTGAGAACAGGTGTGTCTGCCCCAGCCTTATCATCATTCTTACCAGCAAGCCCAGGAGCCATGCTCCAATCTTCCTGCCTCCCCTCCCCCACATCGTATGGCTGGGGAAACTGAGACCCAGAAAGGAAAGTGGCAAATTGGGGAAAAAAATCCAAAACCAAGATTTCAGAAGAACATGGCATCCTGCATCCCAACATACACACACACGGAGCCAAAGACGGAACAGAGATATAGAGGAGCCCGTCACCCTTCACTTCTGACCTTGGGGGGGCTATAGGTAGACACTGGTTGCCTCAGTTTCCCTGAGCAATACAAGCTTTTGCCTTCCAGAGACAGCCAGTAGATAAGCCAACCACTGCCCCACTCTCCCCAGGCTGGGGGGATGCACTCGGAGGAAAGTATAGGTGCTAATTCAAGGTGGTAGCAGCATCACCCACCTGGAGGAGGGCAACCCATCCTAACTGTCCACCCCTCCATTTCCACTTGGAGCCCCTAATACCTACCACGCTGGGACAGAGGGCTCTTTGTAACACCTTGTCTTATTTTCCGCAAGATCCCCTCCCTTCAGCCCCTTGTAAGGCCCCATTTCACTCAGGATAAAGTTGGGGTCCTCAGCCTCCTTTCTTGCTCCACACCTGCCCTCCGCCCCAGGCAGCCCCTCCGTGCACAGACCCCTCCCCTCCAGTCCAGGGCCCAATCTGCTGCCTTCACCTGGAACCTCCTGCCTCCCCTCCCAATTTTTTTTCACCTGGAATTCGCTGGTGGGGGAGGCAAGGATTCCAAGAAAGGGGTTCTGTCCTCACTGGGAAGCAGCAGTGACAGAAGCAGAAACTGAGGAGGCTTTTGCAGGGCTTTCCAGGGGTCGGGAGAGTGGGGAAGGCAGGGCTGTTCCAGAAACCGGCCTCTTACAAGACTCTCCCCAGGCTGCAGGGCCACCAGGCAGCTTGTTTCTGAGGCTCGCAGCTGTCTTGGCCATTTTCATTTTTAACTACTTAGGGTGGTCAGCAGGTCACGGCAAGCGGGAGATGCCATGCTAATGACTCCGGCTCCACGTGGCGACCATTCAGGAAAAAGCTGCAATGTTCTCTCTGCCACATTAATCAGAGAAACACATCAAGAGCTGTTGCGTGGAGACAGCTTTCCTCCAGTACCTGCCCTGCATACTAATCAGCACCCCCTCCGGGCGGTGAGTCAGCTCCATGCCAGGCTGCCATGAGGGAGGGCCAGAAACGCCAGATCCACCCCACAGGCTAGCAACCAGGGCTGTGGGAGCTGTGCCCCCTCCTCCCAAGCACACTGCCAGCATCCATCCTGGGGGCCTGGCAGGTAGGGATGGCAAATTCTGGGAAAGCCTACCCAAAGACAAAGCCTAGGCTGCTTCCTCGGGTCTGGGTCTCACCCAGGTCTACCAGAGGAAACACTCCAGAAACTCACCACCAGAGTCTGATAAAAGCAAGAGGGGCCTCGCTGCCAGGCCCTTTAATAATAGTAAGACATGACCTTAGATGTGCTTGTCATGTTGCAGGCACATGCATGAACATGTGAGTGTTCTCAATATAGCACACACTGAGTCCTCACACAACCCCAAGCACTGGGTGCTACTCCCAATGTGAAGATGATCGAGGTGATGCACAGAGAGGTTAAGTAACCAACCCAAGATCACACAGCTGGCAACAACAGGCTGGTTTGGAACCTCAGCGGCCATGTTCAGAACCACCCCCAAGCTACCTTTAACTGTATCGGAACTCAGAGTCACCTGAGTCCATAGTAACCGTGGAGTCTCTGGGCATCTTTGGCAGGTAATCATTCGTTCACTCATTCAGTCACTCAACAAACAGCAACTATTTGTTGAGCACCTACTATGTACAAGGCACTATGGAGACACCGGGAGACCATGGGAAACAAAACAGGCTAAGGAGGGAGACTGGCATCAACTTAATGTTTTCACTTATTTATAGCAATTATATAGCAATCATATGGTGTGATAGATGCCAGGAAGGAAAAGCACCAGGTCCCATGAATGCACATAGTGGGGGTCTCCTGTGTTCTGGGAGGTCAAGGAAGTCTTCCTGAAGAGACAGATGGGGGAATAGCCAAGACCACTAGTTCTCAAAGTGCAGTCGCTGGACCAGCAACATCACCATCACCAGGTGATGCTGGTGATGCAAATTCTTGTGTCTTACCCCAGATGTGCTGAATCAGGAGCTCTGTGGGTGAGGCTTGAGAAGGAGCATTCAAAGGTCCAGAGGTGGCCAGAAACAGGCACTCTGGGGTCACTGGAGGGAGCCTTGCAGTGCAGGGACACAGTGGTCCAAAACGAGCTGGATGAGAGCATGTTACATTGGGCTTATGGTACCAAGTCACCTCCCCATCACCAGGAAGCCAGCCTGAGGGCCACCAGGGACGCTCAGGGAGCAGTTTTCAGACTGGACGAGGGGAGAAGAAGAGAGAGGCTGCATCAAATGGCTTCTAAAGCCCTGGTCACCTTGCCAGTGTGTCCACTTCCAGGAAGCTCCGGTCATCCCAGGAGCTGCTTTGCTGGGAAAGTGCTTTCATCCTCAGTGCAGGGAAGGAACCCAGGAGAGAAGCTCTTCCTCATCCTCAAGAAGCATTTGCTCATGCAATGAGTCTTCAAAAAATAAATAAATAGGGCCTCCCTGGTGGCACAGCGCTTGAGCGCTGGGTTGCGAACCTGCCCGCGGCCTCTGCGGCGCCGGTTCGATCCCCGGCTGCTCCCCGGCCACCGGAGGAGGGTCCCACATGGCGCGCAGACCCCTCCTGCCGCCCGCTGCTCCCCTCAGCAGTGTACTTCGGTCCTTCTGCCTGCTCTGCTCCCCGCTCTGGCTCTGGTGAATTCTCTCACCCTCCCGCGCTTCTGACTATACCCAGTGCATGTGTAAACAAAACAAACAAACAAACAAATAAATAAATAAACATGCCTCTATAAACAAACAAATAAATAAATAAATAAATAAATGTTGGGGCTCCCTGATGGTGCAAGGGGTTAAGTCTCAGAAGTACGAAGCTGTCAGTAGCCGCTGCAGCATGAGTTCAATCCCAGGCCAGGAAGGTGACCCACAGGGTGCAGCAGACCTCTCCTGTCTCACTCGCTGCTCCCCTCAGCAGTGTATTTCAGTCAGTCTGCCTGTTTTGCTCCCCACTCTGTCTCTAGTGAATCCTCTCACCCCCAGCACCTCTGGCCTACACGTACCCAGTTCTTGCATACATTAAAAAAAAAAAGCATTTAGATCCCTCAAGCCAGGGAGACTGAATCTGCTGAGCAGAGGGTCACGAGAAGCGGTTTCTACTTTCCTCAGGAAGCAGCCGTGAAACATGCATCATATCATGGGCGGCTAGAACCACCCTTCCCACCCATCACCCCCCCACCCCATAAAGAGCCACTGGGTGTTGACAGTGTGAGCAGCTGAAGCCAAGTTCTTTGCAAGAAAGGACTGGATGAAGTTCCCTGGCTAAGCCTGGCCGAGCCAGATGTGGTCATTCCTGTTTGCTGGACATATTAGCCCAGATAGCCAAATAGCACCCCAACTCTGAGGCAAATGACATTTGTAGGGGACCTGCTATGTGCCGGACACTGCTCAAGGCCCCCTTACACAAGTTAGATCCCAGGGTAAACTCCCAGGTAGATCCCTCCTGCCTTCATTCTGCCCATAAACACATACCCGCTGTTTCTCTGGGCGTGGCACAGGAGGCCGTGGAGGTGGCAGGACAGGGTGGTTTCAGCCTCAGGTCTCATCTCTGATCTCATTCACAGCCTAGTGGGAAAGACAGATTAAATAAATATTCCAGAGAAGGAGCTGTGAGGGTCCTACATGTTTTTGCTTGTTTGTTTGTTTTATTAGCTATTTCTTTAAGTGCCTTAGCACAGAGAAAGAAAACAGTCTACTTGAAGTGTTGGCCTTGGTGTGGCCTACAGTCACTAATTAACATCGCTGCGGGAATGGCTGGTGTTTGAACACATTTGGTGCCCCAGGCCCTTTGCATCTCCCTAAGGACAGGCTGGCCAGGATGCACTGCCTTCCCCTTTCCCAGCCATTGCCACCTCCACTTGGGGCTTTTTTTTTTTTAAAGATTTATTTATTTATACAAGAACTGGGGTACAGGCAGATGCGCGGGAGGGTGAGAGGATTCACCAGAGACAGAGCAGGGAACAGAACAGGCAGACTGACGAAATACACTGCTGAGGGGAGGAGGGGGCGAGACAGGAGAGGTCTGCCATGCCATGTGGGATTCTCGCCAGCCGGCCGGGATCGAACCCGTGCTGCGGAGGCTGCAGACAGCTTCACAGTGTGGCGCTCAACTGCCTGCGCCACCAGGGAGGCCCATCACTTGGGGCTTTTTTACAAGATGCTCAGGGAATCCCAGCATCTGCCTATGGACGAGATCCCCGCCCCCTCCCCATGTTGTCGTGCAAACTTGACAATGAGGACTGGCAGCCATGATCTTTTGGGAAAGGTAGGGAGCAAAAAGTAGAGCCTTTTAGAAGCCCTGTCCCTGTTATTTCCCGTCTTGGTCTCCACCACCTCCTCAGCTGGCACATGAACTTGTTCTTCCCTTACCCAGCTCTGAGAAAAGCACCATATGGCAGTTTCATCAGGCCCACGGGCTAGTTTCCATCCAGCCCACTCTGATTTCCTCCCAGCCGTGGGGCTGCAGAACGATCCATCCCTCAAGAGGCGGCGGCACAGGGAAGAGAGACACAGTGACAGCGAAGACGTACAGGGCGCTCCCCACCGCGAGACCGTCCTGGCTGTGTGTACGTTGTGACGCTCGCAGCTGCCCGGGAGCACTGCTCCATCACCCCCATTTCACAGATAAAGAAACGGAGAGGCTGAGGTGTTCAGACATTGTCGAGGACGGGGCTGCGGGCGGCAGAGCTGGGATTGGAGCCCTGTTACCATCAGGCGCTGCTGGTTCGCTATCAAGGAAAACCCAATCTTGGCTAAAAGATGTTAGCAAGAAGGGGCGAGAGTTTAGAGGAAGGGGTCCTGCCCGCTGGCCAGTACAGGGGGGTGCTGGGGAAAAGGCCAATAAATCCATGTGGAGGAGCCAGGCCTGGCCAACCCCATTTCCAATCAGTAAATGAAGCAGCATTGGCCGAGAACGCAGGAAGACCTGGAGCAGCCCCCTCGGACAGCAGGTCAGGGAGCGGCCAGGGCCTCGGGGTAGCCACAGGAGGGTGGTTTCCCTTCGGGCAGCTTGTCCAGTTTATGAATCTACCACCACCTCCCCCGTCACTCTTATCTTTGCTCTCCAGAGGCCAGGCACCCGCGCACCCTCCCTGACGCCTGCCAGCGGTGAGGCTGCGTGGCGGTGCTGTGGGGGCACGGCGGGCGGGAGCTGGCCTGTGCAGCAGCGCAACCCGGGCACAGATCTCCAGATCTCCGCTCCTGACCGACTTTGTGGCTGTGTGACCAAGTCCCCCACCCCAGGGCTGTGAGCCCCGTCAGCAGGGTGGCACGGTTCAGAGGTGTGAATGAGCTAAGTGTCAAGAACCCAGGTAGGCTCTTGGCACGGAATAGGTGTGCGGGCGATGCGCTGCCCCCATTCCAGTCCTTCCTTCTGGAACAAGGAAGGAGGAGGCAAAGGCTCCCAGGGCTGTTGGGGATGGGCCCGCGGTAGGCCTGGCACACACACGGGCCTCCCGGACAGAAGGGCTCCTTCCTCAGAGCTGAGCCCTGCCCCGGGTCCCCAGGAGGAGGTGGGCAGTGCCAGGCCAAGAAGAGAGTTAGGGCGCTAGTGAGCCCTGGAGCAGGTACTGCCCGACTCTTAGAGGAGACAGTCGCTCTGATGCAAAGGCGAGAGAGGGGGCTGCGGCCTAGCCTGGATGGCCCAAGCCCCTCACCCAGTACCCCAGAAGGGCCTGCTATACCTCCCCCTTTCCTCCAACAACCTAGGATGAAGGATCAGCTGGCAAGAGGTGGGAGGGGGTGCTAGGAAAAGGAGCCCCTGTGCTACTGCAGTAGCCCCTGTGCTACTGCAAGCCCACATGGGGGGCATCCCCCCCACAGAGGCTGCCGCCATAGGGTCTCCCACAGCATAGGACTGGAGGAATCAGGAGCCCAGGGTGGATGCTTGGCTGTGAGAGGCCCCTCCAGAGTGGCAGGGGCCTTGGATGTGGGTCCAGGTCATCTCCAGCCCCCCCTCCTAGGGTCCCCCTCCAAGACAGAAACTAAGGGGCCTGAGAGGGACCTATACCCCAGCGCATGGCGAGGAATGCGAATTCCCAGGAGCCGGTGGTGGGTAAGGAGTGAAGTATGAAGCACAGCGAAGAGGGCAGTTACCCTTTCTTTCTTGTTTTAAAACAGTAGCTATTTAAAAAACCCCTAATTTTTTAATAGTTTCATTAAAAAAAAGTAAACACAGAAGAAGGAAAAAGTGAAAAGTTCCTTTTAGTCTCATCTCTGACCAGGATCACTGTTCTCCCCAGCAGTTCACTGTGTTAGTTGCTGTTTTGTCCCAGATGTTTTCTGGGCATTTACACACACACACACACACACACGCACGCACGCACGCACGCACGCACACACACACACACACACACACACACGATGCCAGGATCTTTGGTTTTCTTTGCTTTTACATGCATGGGATCATGCTGACCAGAATTTTCCGAGAAACCCCCCCTGCACACATATATGTACACTCTGGCGCTGTCCACGTCAACACACACAGAGCACCCTCACTTTAAAACTTCTGCAAAATATCCCATGTGGGGCTATAACACAGGGGATGCAACCATTTCCCTTCACTCACGCCCTCACTTAGAGTCCCTGTAGATCCCACCTCTCTGGGGAGCATAGGTTAGAGATTTCAGGCTGAGTAGCGCTCTGCACAAAACCCAGGGATGCCTTCAAGGTCAGAATGCCTTCAAGGTCAGCGACCCACCCCACGCCAGACCCCACACCCCAGGGGCAGAGAAGGAAGAGCATTTGTCAGTGCGAGTCTGCACCTCTGTGCACAGGTGTGAGACGTTGTCCAGGTGCTGACACCCCAGGCGGGCAGCAGAGTGGGCAGGCAGCCTACATGGACAGACCGGCCATGGTCAGGAGGGTACTTACAGACGTCCTCTCGCACTTATCTGTCACGTGGCTGCTGCATGGGCCCCGCTTCCAGGAAATCAATTGCAAAGACTGGCGATTGTCAGCAGCTAGCGCACTGGAGGCTGGCCAGGCAGCGGATTAAATTGTAGGAGAAAATTGTGCTGGGCTCAAGAGCGCTCGTAATGGAAACCCCTGGGTGACCTTCCTGGAGAAGTTAAAAGAACACAGGCAGACACATTCTCACTCTCCATCACCTACCAACAGTCACTGGCACAGCCCTTTTGTCCTTGGAGACACTACTCCCATTAGCAGCACCGCAGGAAGGAGGCCTGGCCCAGCGCCCAGGCTGCTGGTGTAGGGGCACCTGCTTCCCTGGAGAGTGGACCCAGTAGGCCATCAAGGCCTTTGATGCTCAAGGTCACAGAGCCCCTCCTCCACACCCTGCTTCCCACTGGAGACGCCACCTGCTAGCCAGGCAGTGACCCACCACTGACCCCCCCCACCTACACCCCAGACCAAGCTCCTCCAGCTAAGGCAGCCCCCTCTGTGCCCACCCCCACCCCCAGATCCAGGCACCTGCCTCTGTTCCTATTAGGTGGCCTGAGACCCTTGCCCTGCACTCTAGGAGGTGGGGGCCTCTTCAAGGGCAGCTGGGGGAAGGGAGGTGCCACCGGGACCAACCTAACAGGTTCCTTAACCACAAGGGGGAAGGTTTTTTCTTTTCTGGTTTCAGAGCAGATAGGTTGACAGGCCCTCTGCCTCCAGCCCCGCCCCAGCGCTGACATTCCTTCCCTCTAGATCCCAGCCACCCACCCCCGGAGCACTAGCTTTGAACTTGGGGAAACACATGTACATTTTCCATCCGAAGCTGTCTCCCCGCTCTCCAGGCCGACTGACCTGAAAATGATGGAAATAACTCGCTACCACGGACCTCACCGGTTGCCAAGGGCTTTACGTCTATCACCTGACTTAGCTTTCACAAACTCCATGAGGTAGGAACCTCTTTGCTTGATAGGTCAGGAAAAGGAAGCACAGAAAGGTGAAGTGACGCGATCCAGGTCACGCCGCTGGAAAGTGCTAGAGCCAGGATGAAAGCCAGATCCCCATCAGACTTCAGTGCTTGGGGGCCTGGGCGCTGTGCTCCCCCAGCTCCCACTTCCTCATTTCCTCTTCGGGGTTGTTCCGAAGACTAGGTGGTCCATTTTCAGGGGCTGGCCCCAGACCAGGCGGGGTTGCCCCTTCTGCTCTTTGGAGCTCTGTGGGTTCCTGGCAGAGGGGAGACCCTCACATCTCCCCCATCCTTCCAGATTCTCTCTCTAGCAGCCCCAGACCCATTAGGGCCAGCAAGACCTGACAAGCTACCCTGCTTGCAGGGGGACTCTTATAACAGTCACTCAAACCGTGCCTGCTGGGGTGGGGTGGGGGTGGGGACAGTCAGGCAGGCCTGGCCAGATCAGCCTGAGGACAGTGGGACCCCCATTTTGGCAGCACCCCTCCTGGACCCAGGTGGGGCTGCCCAGGTCTTTAGGCTGCAGTGGTAGAGGGCAGCTTCCCCCATTCCGGAGGGGCTTGCTGCCCTCCTGTGGGGGGCATGATTACTGCAGCTCACCCAGCCCCTTCAAGGGGTGGGGAGGGGGCAGGGAAGGGAAGAGAAAGCAGGGAAGCAGCAAGGTGAGAGAAATCAGGAGTATGGCGGGGTAGGGAGCCTGTAGTATTGAGCACAGTGACAACAATCGCGAAACCACTGACGCTGTTCAATGCAGCTACCATGTCACACTTGTAACTCACAGATTCTGTCCTTTAATCCTTACACTCACATCAACATGCTTAGTAGCTATTATTAGTGTAACAGATGACAAGGCTCGTCATTTGTTCAAATGTCCCAACTGGTGGGTGACAGAGCCAGGTGGTATTTGACCCCAGGGCCCTACCCACCCCCACAGCCCTAGCTCCCAGCTGCAGCTCCTGGCCACTCAGGATGGGCCGGGGCCCTCCATTCCCTGTGGCTCTGCCCAAGCGGTCAAGGTCATCTCAGGTCTTTATTCTAGCACAGTCCTACGCCTGACTGGTCTCAAATCTTCTGCAGCTGCTGAGAACCCAGGTCCTGCCCCAAGTTGGGTGCTTGTGCTAGGATCATTTTTGCTGAGGAAAGGGAGGCAGGTGACCATAAAATTTCCAACAACCGGACCTCACCATGGAGCCAACAACATCACGGGAGTGAGCACGCTTATCTGCTGGCCTGCAACGATGTTCTCGAATATTGTTCTATTACAAAGAAGAAGAAAAAAAAGCAGGTTTTAGAGCTATGCTCACTAAGAGAGCATTTTATTAATGAACAAAAGTATTCTCTTTGCAAGCACGGAACAAGGACATTTGCCAAGATGTGAACAGATGATTTTTGTTGTCTTCTTTTGGCTTTTCTGTGTTTTCTATATTTTTTCAATGAACATTGATCACTCACGTGATTTTTTTAAAAAGCAATAAAAATAAACACAACCAGACTGGCGCTGCCTGTCCTCTCCCAACCCCCAAGAGCTTTCCAAAAAAAACCCCCAAAACTGCAGCTCCATATTCATTCTCCTCCCTCCTGCTATTTACCATCTCAGTGGGAGTGGGGTCCAGCCTGCCCAGAAGCTTCCCCTGACTAATGGGAGGTGAGAAGCCTGCACCCTAACCCCTGGGCCTCTCCACGATGACTGATGACCGCCTGGGTGCAGAGGCAGCTCAGAGAAGCACCACCTCTCCCAGATGCTCTCCCAGGGGAGGAAACGTCTGCTTTCTATGGCATTGCTGAACTCTGCTGGCTGTGCCAACTTCCCTGCGGCAGGCCCCCCTAGGCCGGCTGGAGCCCTGGGGCAGATGGCTCCACTGCCAAATGGAGATCATGGCAAAAGGAAGTGTGAAAGGAAAGAAATCACGGAAATCCTCCTCATCAGAAAAGAAAGACCTGTGTCTTAGGACAGGCCATGCTGGCCCCTTCCAGAAAGTTCTGAGAATTCTAAGGAGACTTGGGAAAGAGCTCCCTGGGCATCTACTACATCCACACTTGAACCCTCTCCAGACATGTGCTTGGCCCTCAGGACTCCCCTGCCTTTGTACAGGTGAGGCAGCAGAGGCTTAGCTCCTTGCATGCCAGGGCTTCATCCCAAGTCCAACATCACAGTAGGTAAAAATGGCACTGGGTAGAGAAATTAGCAATGGCTGGCAGTCTCCTTCCCCACATGAGACATGGCTCAATCTCCCCAAGAGCCAGAGAGCGCTGCAGCTCAGGAGCAGGGGTGAGGACCAAGCCTTCCCCTGAGGAACTAGCTCTCCCAGCACCTTCTCAGGTACTGGTGAGGTTGCTAATTCTATTCCTGCCCTGAAAACAACAGTCCTCAGCAGTCAGCCCGGAGACCCGAGAGCTGGCTGCCACCACCAGGACTCGGCTTCCTGGGAAACAGCCGGGGGCCTCCAGTGTCACCTAGGACTCCCTTCCGCAAACCACATTCCCTGAGGTGGCCGTCCCTAGGGACCAGGAGGCCAGGCTCCACTCCGTCCCCACTAAATCTCTGACACACACACAACAGGACACAAGGGGTTTGCACACCTAATTGGGAGCCAGTGGACCCTGACACTCCTCCATCTCTGCACTTGGGTCACCTAGGCTGAGTCACCCAGGCTGAGTCACCCCTGATCACCAGAGTCCCTCCTCCCCCACCACACAGTGTAGTGATGTAGTGATCAAAGGCTGCTGCTGAAAAACGCTGAGCCCCTGGCAACGTCTCCTCTCTGAATGGGAGTTCATGAGTCCATGCCAGGTATCTTGGTTCGGGTGCAAGGAATCAAAGCGTGATTGATAGCGACATCTCGTGGACACAACGGGTAACTGCACCATCTGGTTGGACGCCACAGGATGACTCGCAACTTGCCTCATTCATGGAGAGGAATTGATTTCAATTAATCACACTCGTCACCTCACACAGGGAACTGTCTTAGAGTTGGAAAAGAAACCCTCCAAAAACCAGAAAACAATCTTCCAACCACAAATTTCCCTGCCATCCGTCTCTGACTATGCACCTATTTCATTTAAATTTGTTCCTTTGCAAATATTGATCGGATAAGAATCCAGGAACCATGGAGGGAGAGAAACGTTAACAATAACATTAATAGAAAAAAAAAATAATGATCTTGCCATGAACGTCACATGCATTTATCTCATGAATCTTACTATCGATCCAAGAATGTCCATGTTTTTAACCCTATTTGGCAGACGAGGAGTCTGAGACTCGGAGCATAAGGGGGAGCTGGGTTCCAAACCTGGGCAGTTTGACATCAGACTCCATTCTCTTCAACATCCACTCCATGTGGCCACACTGCTCACAGTGTCTACCCAGCTCACCCTATGCCCCGGGGAATCCCTGGAAGCACGAGGAAATCCCCATTCCTGGGGCACAGACTTTCACCCCAGACTGAATATCCATGTCACCCTCTGTGGCCATGAGAGGCAGGTGGACACGAGGCTCTTTATGCTAGAGCCCCAGCTCTTTGGCCCATGAGCAGTGCCCTCAAGCCGGTTCTTAAATCTTACTCTCCTGAAGTGGGGCTGCTCTCATCCATAAGGTATGCAAATCGAGCTTGGGAGGGCCGGCCCAGTAGACCCCAGCCTCTATAGAAAAACACCACACTAACAAGGCTCAGGACTGGGATGGAAGTGAGGGCCAAGTTTCTCACCCTTAGGCTTGTGCTCGTTTCAGAGGGAGCTGCTGATGCGTTTTGGTTCAGAGGAAAAGGGAGTGCCATAGCCAGGGTGGCAGGGCTGAAACCAGTTCCTAGGACTTTGGGCCCCCAGCGTTCTACAAAGACGTGCAAAGAACCATGTCCCAGCAGGATTCAAGTCTGTGGCCTCTGCAGAGACTCTGGACCCTGAACTAGCCTCTGCAGCACAGGAAGCACCATTCCAAGGCCAGGAGAGGATATCTGGATCCTAGTTCCAGTTCTACCTCCCACTGTTTTCACAGACCGTTGAACGTGGTCTTCTTCCTGTCACTGCAGGGTGACACCACTGAAGGCTTCTCTTGGTGTCTCAAAGTCCCCTCCTCCTCCTGCCTCTGCATATGAACACAGTCCTCCTTGACCTTATCTGTCTACTAATAGGTGTGGCCACCAGCCATGAACAGGGCTGTCCACATCCATCATCCCCGCCCCTAAGAGCACCTGGCACGTGGAAGATGCTCACTGCAATGAGTCAGTGGCAGAGCTCACTACAAATGTTCTTGGAGTCCATTGCTGGAACCATCCCCAGAGAGAATGGCCGTGGGGCCTGACCATTACAAATGATGTATGAGGATGATGAAGTGTTTCAGGTTGTACTGAGGCTTTAGTATGCGAGACATTAGTCCTAGTTATCTGTGGCTACACAGCAGAATTACTGCAATACCTAGAAGCTTAAAATAATAATAAACATTTATTAGTTCACGATCTATAATAAACTGGGGTGTGGCTTGACTCAAGGTTGGGGTATGGTTTCTTAGAAGGTAGCAGTCACGTGCTGACCAGGGCAGCCATCATCTGAAGGCTTGACTGGGGCCATGGGAGTCTACTCACATGGGGGCAAGCTGGTGCCAGCTGTGAACAGGAGGTTCAGTTCCTAGCCCTGGGGATCTCTCCACAGGTCTGCCTGAGTTGCCCCAGGACCTGGCAGCCGTCTTCCACCAGGATGAGTGACTAGCAAGAATGGGGGGGGGGGGTGGTCACCATGTCTCTATGACTTTGTTCTTTTAGGGCTGCCTAACAGTACCACAAATGGGGTGGCTTAAAGCAACCGCCAAGTCTGACATCAAGGCGTCAGGAGCATCACAGCCTGATGAAGGCTCTAGGGGATTCTGCCTCTTCTGGCTTCTGCTGGCCCCATGCTCCTCGCTGTGGCAGCATCACAAACTGCCCACTCTTCACATGGCCTTCTCCCCCGGCTATCTGCTGTCCCTCTCCTTACCTGGACACCAGTCGCTGGGATTCAGGATCACTGTCATCCAGCACGGCTCCTGGCTATATCTGTAGAGATGCTGCTCCAGAGGGGACCACATTCTAGGTAAGGGGGGGAGGGGAAGAGGGGAGGTCAGAACGTCAACCTGTCTTTCTCAACATTCACATCCAAAATAAGGACCAATCTCTGAGGTTGAGCACCATCCCTTCTGCGGCAGCAGGTGGCTAGAGGCAGGGCGGGAGGAGCCACACGATGAGTGACTGTCGGGAGGGTTGAACGACCAAGACAGACTCCCAGGAGCACTAAGTACAAAAGGAGTAATGGTGGGCCAGCTTCAGGGCCTTTGGGCCCCTGCGCAGTCAGCAGCATAATGAATCAGAATGTGGAGACTGGGAAGTTAAGGAAGAAAAATCAGAGAGTAAAGCCCTGTTGCGAGTTCCACTCCCAATGGGGTCAGGAACCCTACCAGCGCCGTCTCGAGCCTCGCAGTGGGGCCTTCCAGGAGCTATGAAGAACCAGGGCGGGGAAGGTATGGGTGGGTGGCAAGAAGAGGGGCTGCCCTGGAATTAGGGCAGGGGCTCACCAAGGGCCTTGGGGGGAGAGAGGGCCGGCCTGGGTCATTTTAAGACCCGTAGCGCCTCCTACTGGGGCAAAGGGACCTGAGCTGGAAGCAGTTGGTGCTGATAATCAGGCTAAAAGTCACTGCCTCGAATGGAGATGGAAATCTCAGGAGAAAACCTCAGAGATGGCGCCTTTGAGGAATTCAGGAAACAGTGTTTACCATCTGGCCCAGGGAGCTGACAGCCGAGGACGAGACTTGCCGTAGTGCCCAGCCTCCCATCTCTCCCACTTAGTCTGCAAGCAACCAGCAGACGGGGAGGGGGCGTTCAGGTGGGAACACAGACAAAAGCATAACACGCCCCAGTCCCCCAGTCGCTGGAAGCCTGCAGCCCCTTAACTAGGGCAGGAGGCGGAAGCCCTCTCTGCAGGAAGATGAAAGTGTCATTTCACACCCCTGCCTGGACTCTTTCAATCTCTAAAAGGAGATGGTGGCGTCTGCAGTATAAAACCACCACACCTGAGCCCGAGGAGAAGCAGCTGGTACCTGGCCCCGCGGGCCTCCCTCGCTGAAGGGTTCAAGGGGACGGAGCCAGGCAGAATGGACCACATCCCACACTCAAGGCAACCCGGTGCAAGGCCAGCTTCCTCAAAGGAGGTTGAGCCTCGTAGTCCCCACCTACTACCCCCCCAACCTCCCAACCCCCAGGACAGAGCCTTGACCCACAGAGAGGTTCCTGAAGAAAACTGCTTCTCAGCTTCCCAGCTTCCCTTCAGAACGGAAGAATGTTTACTGTTTTTCTCCTTCCTAACTGTCTGGAAATGACACCAAGAACAACAACAACAAAAAAAAAGGAAAAAAAAAAAAAAGAAGAAAGAAAAAGGACTCCTTGTCCCCATGCAAACATCCACGCCCTGTGAACTCTTCACCCGGTTGTGGAGTCCTGACTTCACCCTGGGGGTGGCGGGGGCGAGGCCTGAGGTCTACCACTGCCCTTGTAGGAGGAGAAGTACCTGAGAGGAGACTGCTAGGCCCAGAACAATCCTCGCCTCTCTCCTCTCTGCAAGCTTTGTGCACGTCAGGGAGGGGCAGGGCAAAGGGGGGAGGGGAGAGCATTGCTTAAAAAATTGAAATTCCCCAGAGATGTTGGAGGTGCTGTATGATCAGTCCCTTGCCTGTCTTATTTCTGATTACTGGGAAAAATGACTCCCTCTGGACCTCCCTTCTCCTCGTCCTTGCGCAGAGTTTGGAACTAGCTCTGTCCTTTTTTTAGGAGTCAGGCTTTGTAAAAAGCTGCCCCAGGAGAGAAGGCACTAGGACCTGGAATGAGCTGGAGGCTGTGCGTCTGATACCTGCCCCTCCCCTAAGCTCTTGGCCAAGACCTGGCAGAGCAGAGGCTTGGACTGAAATGCCAGTGGGCATGTGAGCCTGGAAAGCAGGGGCAGTCCCCAGTGAGAGCTTCTAGAAAAATCTGCCTTCTCTAGCACAAAGGCTCCAGAGAGTAGAGCCCTCAGTAAAAAGAATTTATTGTGCACAGGATGACAGTGGTATTCCAGGCCTAAAGAAGCCTAGCTTTTCAGTCTGTCAGAGAACAGGGCTCCTAACACTCCTTAATGGATGCTAGGCCCTAAATAAAATCCCTGTCACCACCCATGTCTCTCTCCTAGACCCTGGTGCCAAGAAGCTGTCACAACCCCCACACGCAGTGACAGCACCCGGGTCACTTTCCCGAAGAGCTTAGTCATGAATGAGTTGCTGTTCCTTTGCCTGAATGACAAGCTCAGGAGGGTGTCAGGAAGTCTTCCCAAGTGTGAAGACAGCCCTACCAGGGAGCCTCAGTTTCTCCCAGCATGCTTACGTGGGGGAGCAACTCCAGAGCATCTGGGGTCACCTTCTCAACTTCAGCACAAGGACATTGGGGCAGGATAATTCTTGCCGGGGGCTGCTCTGTGTTTTGTAGGATGTGAGATCCATGCCTGGCCTCTCTCCACAAGACGCCTATGGCATCCCCTCCCTCTCCTCTTCCATCATGACCATCAAAACCCCCTCTGACATTGCCAAATGTCCGGGGAGCAAAATCAGCCCTGTTGAGAACCACGGGCTAGGAGGGGTGCCATTCAATGACTCCAAGGAGATCCAGGGTCAGTGCTGGGCACATATCCCAAGGGGATTTTCACTCCACCCATGAGGGGCCAAGATGGCCTTTGTGTTTCTTGGTTGTACTGACAGAAAATTCAATTCTAAATGACTTAAGAGGGGTTGGGGGAATGAACACCATCTTGTGTAGAAAACCTAAGATTCAGGCACAGTGCTGGCTCAGGCGTACCTGGACTCACCATCACCAGGACTTGGCTTTATCGGTATTTCTTGGTTCTGCACTACTTCACGTTGTTCTGCACTTCCTGTATAAACAAGATGGCCAGAGCTCCAGTCCAGTATCTTCCCAGTTTTAGAACTATGGAAGAAAAGTATGCAGTATTTTGCTCTCTATAGTTTCAGCCAAAGTCTCATTACACTTCCTTGGCTCTGATTTGGTATGGGTCTGTCAATAAGCAGGGCATCAGAACCTGGGAAGGGGATGGCCTACCTAGCCAGGCTGTAGTCACATGTCCACCTACCTTTAGCCCTGGGAGTAGAGACAGCTCTGTGTGCAGGACAGGAAGGATGGTAAAATGGGGGTTCCCAAGAGAAAAATCAGTTACAGCTACAGAAAGACAGGTGAAAGGATTCTGAATGATGAGAGACAATAGCTAGCTACCACTGTCTTTAAACCCAAAAGGGCTTATCTTAAGTCTGTTGAGGTGAGAGGCCACCGTAGAAGGAAGACTTTCCTGAATGGAAGTACAAAGCCTGTGCCATAATTGTCCAAATTTATCTCCAGCTGACAAACAAAAGCTCCCTTAGCCGTCTCTAGGATAAACTACCAACCGGGATGGTTCATTCAGATGGGTTTTTGATATAGAGACTATCAGTATTACGAAGAGTCTTCCTCCCCTTCTTCCACAGGAACAAATTTGTGGTTGGGTCCTTGGCTGCCCAGCAGAGGATGGCATTTCCCATCATCCCTTGCAGCTAGCTATGACTGTGACTAAATTTGTACTATATGAACAGAAAAGATGTCCAGGCTTATGATTTAGGATAGTGGGTCTGACTCATGCACACTCATTTCCCCTCCCACTGAACCAGAACATGCCTATGATCCAACTTTGACCATGCAAGTGAGCATGATACCCTAGAGGGTTACAGAGTGGGAAATGGCAGATAATGGGACATGATTCTGTATCAGCAGAGTCTGTCAACATCAGAGCAAGGCAAATCTTTAAAAAAAAAAAGTCAGTCCACGGACAAATGTAATTCCAATAATCATCCAATATAGAGAGGTTAATTTAGGTTCATGGATTTGGCTAAATATGGGGAGTTGGGTGAAGGATACCAGGATTAAGAGAAGGCTTCGCTGCAGGGAGTTGGCTCTTTGGTAGAGGGCAGTCACACCAAGAAAACATTTTAGTCAACATCACGACCATTTAGAGACACAGGCCAGGCTTTCCAAGGCTATGACACAATAGAGCATTGCATTTTTCACCATAATAAATCTTCATGGCAATGGTGAATAGGTCGACAGAGGCAGAGAGTCTGCTTTGCCCACTTTAGCTGGTGTTTGTCACTTCCTGCATATGTGGATTCTTCTGGAAAGATAAAAAAAAAAATACCAGCTTCAAAACTTGATGAGTATCTGTGATGTGAGAAAAAACCCCAGAGATTACAGTACAATATTCTTTTCAGACATGCTGCATCACCAGTGCGCTTACAGGAAGGATATTGTTGGCGGCTATTGTTGATTCTAAGAGGAAAAGTAGCTTGGAGGAGTCAGGCTCTGAGGGAGGAGGGGTCTGATGCTCAGTGAACGCACACACGTTCATTGAATCACAGTCACAGCCCTTCTGTCTGGCTGTAGGACTGGCCTCACCAGACTGGAGTGTCCCCTGCTGTGCCTCAAGACTAGGCGACAGAACAGGATGGATTCTGTCAGTTCCAGACTTGACATTTGTTCCAGAAACACATGACGTGTGGGCAGAGAGCCACCTCCGGGAAAGACCCTGGCCTAGAGATCGGCACGTGGCTGTGAGTGAGCTGCCACGACTTCTTCCAGCCTGCGTCAGGGAACAACAGTTCTCAAAGCACTTTCACCCACATTATCTCATTCCATTCTCACGACCTGGAGAGAGGGCAGATGTGATCGTGGCTCCATTTCAGAAACGAGAAATAGCAGCTCAGAGCGGTAAAGGGACCCGCTTCAGGCACTTGGGCTTGTTAGTGACAGAGCCTGGATTTGACTGAGACCTTCAATGCCACCCTCAGGGCTGCGCCGGCGGTGTAGCTACTTTTAGGGCAAGTTCATTTCATTTTTTTTCTTTTCCATTGTCTGGTTCTAAATAGTAGGTTTTGTGCTGGTTGGTCTTGTGGGAGTGGGCCGGGGAGGGATGGATGTTTCCTGACAGTGTGCAGAAAAAATTCTTATACAGCAAGAAGCCCGTTTGAAAAACACAATGTTAACAACCTAAAGTTTTGGACTGCAACCATTGCTCATGTCTCTTAAAATGGCATTCTCACAGGTTGCTTATGAGTTGGAAATATTTACACTTTATTTTATTTTTTTTAATAAATCTTATTTATTTATTCAAGCACTGGGTACAGTCAGAAGCGCCGGAGGGTGAAAGAATTCACCAGAGCCAGAGCGGGGAACAGAACAGGCAGATGGACTGAAATACACTGCTGAGGGGAGCAGCAGGCGGCAGGAGAGGTCTGCGCGCCATGTGGGATCCTCGCCAGTGGTCAGGGATCGAACCGACGCTGCAGAGGCTGCAGGCAGCCTCGCAGTCCAGCGCTCAACCGCTGTGCCACCAGGGGAGGCCCGACACTTTATATCCCTGTAACAAGAGGTTGGAAACATCCTCAACCCTCCCCCTTCGTATGAACTATGAGATGGAGTTTGCAGACCCCCACTCTTCCCCTTCTGCCCCCGCCCGCCCCCCATGTTAGCATTGATCTGCATCGAGCGGCATACTTTTGTTATTTTTCACTGAAGTGGAAGGGTTTGGGTTTTGTTTTGTTTTTCTGGGAGTTGTTTTGTTTGGGTACAGAGGCCCTTGGGGAGAAAGCGTGTAATGGAAGGAACTGACGAGTTGTTATGTCCCATCCTGGTCTCAGAGACCCATCTCCTGCCTTGGCGAGGGAAGAGCCAGGGTGATAAACAGAGGGGAGTAATGATGTCAGCCTTTGAGCAACTAGAGATACAGCAGTTGGAATGCAGCCTGGCTGAGTGCAGCCAACTCATGAAAAGCTCTTTGTCCCCACCTCTCCCCGCCACTTTGGTAAATTGCTGCCTTAAAGGCCCCAGGAAAGAAGTGTGTGCTCAGCAATAGGTGCGGTGGCTGCAGAGAGCACGTGTGCTGGTGAGGTGCCCCTTTCAAGAGGCCGTGACAGTAGACCGACGAGGACACGGCGGTGGAAGAGCTGGGTGGATCGCCCCACAAACTACAGGAGCTACCACAGGGGCCTCCTAGAAACAACTCAGGAAGAGCTGAAGGGGGAAGGGGATGAGTAGAAAGTGCTACAGACCTTGGGTATGGGCTCAGAGCCGATGAAATGTAGGTTTGGATGTCAACATGACCTCACTGCTACCTCTGGGCTGGAGAAATCTAGTAGTGGAGTGTGGGGAAACACAGCCCCTGTTCTCTTCCACACACCATCCAATTTCAGAAATCCGGTCTTTAGTGAAGGTGGCATGAGATGCTTTGAGTGCAGTAAACTTGGACAGCCCTCTCCAGCTCTGCCCCCTCCCCACCCCCCCAGAGCTGGCTGCCCCACTTCCCCCAACCCTTCTGGAGGGCGGGCTAGAAGAAACCGTTCCTAGGTCAACAGCTAGAGAAGTCTAGCTCGAGGGTTTTGAGGTGGGAGGAAAATAAGCAGCTCTTTTCTGATGTCAGAGCGGAGCACTAGCTATGATTTGCTAAAGGCTTCTGAGTGGCTAGGTTATTAGGCAAAGATTTTTGCTATTTCAGCTGAGTTGGAATGAGAGGAAATATGGGATAAATGGCAGCATAAGGGATTTCGATTACAGCAATAAAGGATTTCCCAGCATCAAAGGGAAATAGATTTTCTGCCCTAGGCCCATTTTAAAAGGTAAACAGAGAGGCCTCCCTTGACTGCCAACCTCTGGTATGGAGTTTAAATGGCTTTCTACATATCTTATCCTGACCCCTGCTCTTTACCTGAATTCACTGATCTTCTGTGTTCCCACGTCTTCATTACAGCACTTATCCAAACTGAACTGTGAATTTCTGAGGGTTTGAAGCTGTGTCTTATTCTTTACTGTGTCCTTGACCCTTAGCAGGTCCACAGTCAACAGTAAATATCAGCTGGTTTGATCGTAAGTGAAAAGCTGGCTTGAGAGAACAGCGCATGTCCATGCTTACTGGAGTGGTATGCCTCAGCGCCCCTTGAGTGTCACTGTGGAAGGAACAGGAGGCGCTAGGTACAAGTTGCTATGAGGATGAAAGGAGGAAGTGCCAGGAGACCCCCTATACAGTATCTGGTCTCCCCCAGCCCCTTCTCCCTTGTCCCCTTCCTTCTGCCTGATTTCCGGTCTGGATGCAAAGGTCAGGTACTCTACAAGAAGACTGAAGTTCTGAATGATTTCTGGAGAATGGCCAGCAGTTGAGGGAACTAGATGGTTGAGAAAATGAGCAAGATGTACATCCTGCCCTGGATTCTGGGAAGGCAAGTAGGGAAACCAAAGTGTGCCAATAAAAGGTGGCAGAGGAGAATTCTAGTGCTGTGGCAGCACAACCCACAGAGTATGCTCTTTCCTCTGTGGATTCCCTGATGTGGGTCTAGCACACTTAGGAATGACATGGAGTGATTTGCACAGGACTGTGCACCAGTGCTGTCAGGGTCAGTGACTGCACACCATGCCCTGGCACCTTCCCGAGGAAGAAAAGATGCCATACCAACCCATAGACAAATCAACGACAGGGAGAGGGGCCAGTTGAATCCCAGGCTCTGTGCAGCAAAGTCTCCCCCATGGGAAAGAAGTTAGCTCCAGTGATCCAGGACTCTCTAATGCAAGCTCTGGAACATTCCCAAGTCCCTCCTTAAGCAGCGAGAAGCTGATGGCACTGCTGCAAAGTAGACAAAGAAAGGCAAGGGACTTTAAACTGGAATGTGTAAAACAGAGGCGGGGAGGCTGTGAACGCCTCAGCAGCAATTATGCAGAAAGACTGCAGTTCAGACACAGGGTAGCACCATCCTCCCGACAACACTAGCAGCGTCGTCCTCCACCAAGAGTGGGCTCAGAGCTGCTAATTACTGAGACTCTAATAAGAGCTATGTCTTAAAAGTGATTTTGAACTGATTGCAGCTTTTAAAACTGATTGCAGCTGTATGCTGTAAAAGCAGGAACCTAAATAAAAGTGAAAAATTCTTTGATCAAACACAAAGGAACCCTTTTAAGTAAAGATATTTTCATTTTACATACAAATCATAGTTATGTTTCACATGTGTAAGTGAAGGATTCATAAACCTATTAAACATACATGTTCCCTGAGGCCAGGGACCATACTTTTTCATCCTCATAACTCCTGACAGTGTCCAGCATCGTTTCTGGCACCTAGAAGATGCTCACTGAATTGAATTTAATGGAAGCAATTGCCGTATTAATGATTTGATTAGATAATTGTCATTTTTTTACCATAATGGGCTACTATAAGCGGCATATTGGGGTAAAGTAATACAAAAGGCCAATTTAATATCATCAAATCCAGGAAAACATACCTATTTTTTTTTCAAACCCAAAAAGAAATATGCAAATACAATCATTCTTGAAAGGCAAGCCAACCACTCTGCATTCCACAACAGAGACCATGTTGATTGCGCTGTGTAGGTTGCTAGGCAACCACTTGGTAATTCCCCATATAATAGAGGAACCTGTCATCTGCTTCCTTGGCTATATGTGACATGAGGAGACAACAGGTAAAGGACAACCAAGAACACATGCACCTGGATGACACATTCTCTCCTGAAGTGTGCTGACCCTGGAGAAAATCCCCATGCCCCGTCAGAAAGTGCTGGAGGGAGAATTCATTAAACTATTAGCACAAGGCATTTGGGTAGATTTTCCTGGATTTACCCTGTGGGTAAATCCTGTGGGTTAGCCTGTATTTCCTGTCCACAAAGCAGGAGACCAAAAGCACTGCGCTCTTGCATGTGGCTGGCTGTCAATTCAACAGGGCTCCAGATCAGCCATCCCACAGCTCCAGCTGGGATGAAATTTCACCAGATAAAAGCAGCCTTTTAAGTCTTAAAAGGGACACTCAATTCTCAAAGAAACCCAAGTTCTGGGTGAATAAATGGCACTTTTTTGTACCTGAAGAAAATGCTCTTAGCAATTTCTTTGGATGTGATTTCCCAGACATTTTAGGCAAATGAGCTGCCTTGTAAAGATGCCACGCCACTGTAGGTGTTGACGTGGTTGTCTCAGAAATAGACTGAAAACATGATAAAACCTTGGAGAGTGAATAAGGGCTGTCTCAAAGCTTCTCTGACATTAAGAAAAAGAGAACTTAAATTTAAATGCCCCTTGAAATTTGGGAGGATAGGGGGACTCATCTTTTTCATATGAATTTTC